GCCTGTCGCCACAAGGAAGTTCCAGCAGGAAGAGGAAGGCACTATTGCATGGCAGCAGATCTGAAGCAGCAGGAACTCTTACAATCCCTTACAGTGGTTTTTATGCACTGTTGAGATGCTGGTTGGAATCATGGAGCAGACAAGGAATTTTACCCAAATTTATTTGGTGTCATGGTTCTTGCCCTCCCTCCAGCTTCTGAAAGCAATGACATAAGTCTAATCCATCAAAATAGTACAGCAGTATTTAAAGACTTTTTTGGCATAATCTTCCAATATATAAAATAAAATTTTACATATAGTCCTGCCTTTATTTAAAAAAAATAGCTTCCCCCCCTTTATAAAATACGTGTCATCAGCAGGTTACAAACAATTGTTTAGGAAGAGGAGATCCATCAAGTGGTCTTCATGTTGTGGGTGGGAGTATGATGGAACAGTGGCATTTGTCCTTTCTCAGAGAACCCACAACAGTTGAGCAGTACAATGTTAAGTCTCTCGTTCTGTAAGGAAGTCACCGCATATTTTGTAAGATGTTCCTGAAGTTTTCCAGTTCTGTAACACTTGTTGAAATCCTGTGTGAGGAACATGAAGAGGAAACGTTAGAGCCACATACACATCATGCTTTATTTAAAATTCAAAAGAAACTTGACAGCAGTCCCTAAAGCTCTAAGCAACTCTTAAGAACAGAGAATTTAGGATTTCAGCTAAATTAGGTTGTGGTTGGTTATTTGCTAATTTCATATACTCTTCTTAGAAGAAACACTGAGAAACGTAGAGAATGTTACAGAGATCCCACAAGACCATTAACTGGAGGTCAAGAAACAAACTGTAATATTACAAGTGGTGCAGGCATGTCTCCTTGCACTACAAACTTGTTTCTTCTGACGGGTTTTTTTTACTCACCCATCTCATTTTTCTTGCTGAATGCATTTTGCCCCTAGAGCATCAGTGAAGGGGTGAGGTAGGATCCTGAGGAAACAGCCCATGTGTGCCTCTCCTGTACAGGAAGGTTCTGCCCTTCCCCATACAAGACAAACTGCTGTTCTAAGGTTTGGAATAACCCGAACAACAAGCGAGAGATGGAGGTTTCAAAGGTTCCAAGGAGGATTTCCAGCTGGGCATCAGAGGGGAAAAGGGAAGAAAGAGCAAGGCCTGTCCCTGAGCCTGGTGTGGGGACAAGCAAAGCAGCTCAGTTTCCACTGAACAGAGCCACTCAGAGATTCCCTAAGGCTCCTGCATGATGCTTCCAGAGGCTGTGGTGACCTGGCAAGAGAAGGGCCAATGGAAGCCAAGCTCCCCTGGTGTAAGGGGAAGGCAGCTCCTGAGCTTGGGAGGGGAGCACCACAGCACCCCTGGGGAGGGGCGCTTCAGAGTTTTCCAGGTCTGATGCTCATTACAGACTCCCTGCCGCTGGCGAGTGATGCTGCAGGTTTGGTTTGAAGTGAGATCTAGCAGGACCCCTGAGCTTGAGCACTGGTAGCAATGTCACCCGAAGAATCCTTTGAAAAGCTGTTTGTCAGAAACTCCAGCTCTGTCAACACCACTAAGCAATAATGTATAATCAAGGGTGTCTTGCAGCATCCTCTCCCTCCTAAAGGCTTTGTTACCCTCCTTCTCTGCCAAAAACTCCTCATCCAGCTCTCCACAAGGGACGGACTGATGGATTCCTGTTAAATGCAACCACTGCAAACAGATGTGGGAATGTTGTGGCTACCCCTGGCAGTGTTCAAGGCCAGGCTGGAGGGGGCTTGGAGCAACCTGGTCTAGTGGAAGGTGTCCCTGCCTGTGGTACAGGAGTTGGAACTAACCATTCTATGAGTTTGTGATTCTATGAGGTGAGCACCTTGAAGGAGAGCTCAAAAAGGAGCACAGAACTACCACAACCCCCATCTGGGGACAACATGCTCTAAGGACGGAGTCACACAGTTCTTAAAAACTATCAATTTCTTTGTATCTTGACACAAATGTTTCCTTGAATTCCTTAGAGAAATGTAGAGTTGTTTTAAACTGTTCCAATTGTTGCACTCCATGTCAACATCATCTGATGTTTGAGAGCTTCTTCATGAGGCAGTACCATCGGAGCAGGAGCCAACACCAACCTTGCCGGTAAGAAGCAGCTGGGTAAGCTTAAAAGGGATGTAACACTACAGCTTGTGTGAAAGTAGAGGGAAAAAAAATCTCAAACTAACCTTCCAAAAGCATTAAATAAGGCAACAATTTCTTGTCTGGTCAGCTGGAATCCGTAGGAAGGGCCACTTTCAGGTATCTTTTCTATTAGGTTTTCAGAAAAGAGGATCTTCAGCGCTGTACCCAAGCCCTGCGTCTGTGTGGGACAAACAAGATCATTTCAGTGCCTGGGAGCTGACCCATACCCAAGAACTGCATCCAAGTCCCACCAGATAAGGAGCATCCAGACACGTCCCCTGTCACTGAGCAAGCTCACCTGCAGCTTCCCCCACAGGCGACATTTGAAGCAGCCAACACAGTCCATTATCCTTGAAATATTCTTAAAGTGTAGCCTAAATTCCTCCTAGGTGAAAAAGACATCCAAGTTGATTGTGGTTATGCACTAATTAGGACTTCTTCCATCTATTAATCCAAATCTAATAAGGTATTAATCCTGGACTTCAGGCTAAATTCAGTGGGACTGAGTTTGGGAAATGCATCCTGAAGTGGGGTCCCCAGCAGCAATTCCCCACTCTCCTGAAGGTGCAGACTGTAGTTACCCAACAAGCACCCAAACCATTCAGAAAGCAAAATGGAATTTGGAAAACTAGAAACTGGAATATTTGAAATACCTCACCTGGTCCCTGGAGCATACTGGGGTCCCTTTCAGATCCAGTATTATCCCAGCCACACACCTGGAAATACCCTTTCAGCAGCAAGGGCCCCTAAAGGAAAGGCTGGCCAATTACCTTTAGTTTAGCAGCTTCCTTTTTATTTCCTGCAAAGAACGAGTTTTCATCGAAATGCAGAGGGAAAGACCTGAAATAAAGTGAAAAGAGATTTATGATTGATGAGAAGCTTAACATGGCCCAGCAGTGTGTGCTCACAGCTCAGAAAGTCAACTGTGTCCTTGGCTGCACCACAAGAAGTATGGCCAGCAGGTGGAGGGAGGTGATTCTCTTCCTTTACTTCACTTTCATTAGACCCCACCTGCAGTACTGTGTTCAGCTTTGGGGACCTCAGCCTAAGTAGTACATGGACCTGCTGGAGCGAGTCCAGAGGAGGCCATGAAGATGCTCAGATAGCTGGAGCACCTCTGCTTTGGAAACAGGCTGAGAGAGCTGGGGTTGCTCAGCCTGGAGAAGAGAAGGCTTCGGGGAGACCTTAGAGCAGCTTCCAGTGCCTAAAGGGGCTGACAAGAAAGCTGGAGAGGGGTTTTTGACAGGGGCATGTGGGGATAGGACAGGGTGAAATGGCTTTAAACTGAAAAGCTTCCCCATCCCTGGCAATGTTCAAGGCCAGGTTGGATAGGGCTTGGAGCAACCTGGTCTAGTGGAAGGTGTCCATGCCCATGGCAGGGCGGCTGGAACTAGGTGAGATTTAAGGTCCTTTCCTGCCCAAACCATTCTAGGATTCTATAATTCTCTCTCCACAGCTTGTTTATATGCCTGAAGTCCAGCTCCAAGACGTACCTGGTGAGGTGGGCAAATGGAACCAATGGGTGAGAAATATTGGATATCTCTAGATGTATTTGAAGTATAATCTGCTTGTTTCTTAGATTTCTTGGAGGCTCTCCATTTTAGCTTGCATCTCACCTTGGAGACATTTTCAGCAATTGCCCTATGGTTTCTAAGCAATTTTAGTCTGTTTCTAACAAATGTAAGCGCTGAAGGAGCAGGAGTGTGACAAGATAAATTCAAACACTGATCACATTGAGACACCTATTTCCATCTGTTTCCATTTCTCTTAGTCCAGACTCTGTCCAATAGCCCAAATCTCTGTTACCATGTCCAGGATTTTTTTTTTTCCTAGTCAAAACCATGAAATCAGGACTGATACTCCACAAATGAATCAAACAGGTAGCCAGTTTCAGGCCTGACAAGTAGACAGGCATTAAATTCAATTCTGCTAAATCAAAAAGGCAGCCTAGACTGTTACACTCTGGGTCTAACCACCCTGTTTTGCAAATTGAGTACAGATAGAACATACTCCTACCAATATTACACAAATCATACTATCCCACTACGAGAAAGCCCCCAGAACCCACTTTCCTAGGTGCTTCAAGTGAAAGGTTAAGCACGCTCAGAGATGCTGAGGCTGGAAGAGCCATTCATCCCAGGCACTGTGTGTATTTACTTGACCAGGTGGAGAACTTCCAGCAGCAGGGTTTTCATTTCTGCATCATGACTCTTATTCCCTGTGTACAGCTGGAAACCTGGGCGCTCAAAGAACGGCAGCACTTTGGACAGGGCCCGCAGCTCTATCAGGTAGAGAAAATAGAGGTTCTTGAGTCTTCTGGGACCTTCCCCTCTGGTGATGACTTCATCAAATCTCTGCTGGAACTCTGTAACATTGGGGCCCCATTTCTTCCCTGACCATGTATCTGAGAGAGGGGAAAAAAAAAAGACAAAGACATGATGGGTTTAGTTCAGGTTCAGCTTCTCCCACCATCCCAAGCTAAATGGTGAAATACAACTCTAAGCAGGGAGATGCAGGCTTTCCAACAGTCACAGACCCTTCAATAACCACAGATTGTTCCAGAGTCAAGAGAGACGGGCTTTTAGCCACACTCAAACCTCAGCAAGCACACAACTCCTGTAGACCTTGGTTAGCTGGTTTAAAACATGACCCAGGCTTACAACCGAAAGCTAAAATTGGAGGCTGCTCATTGAAACCAGTTAAACCAGATGGAGAGTTTTAATCAGGCAAGTTGAGTGTTTCTGGGAGCAGTTCTGTGTAAGCTGGTGATAGCTCAACATTCACAAGTGAAGAGGACAAGATGGATGTACCAGGCAGGCTGTGAAGGTCCCTTTGTTTCTTCACTCGTGCCTACAAAAGCCACTGACTTAACTGGAGAACTTGGAAGAGGTCTCTGCTTTGGTATGAGAGTCTGCAGAGGCAAACAGGCCTCCTGCTCCCATTGCACTGGCAAGCAGCACTGGGGCCAGAGGTTGGGAGGTTTCCTCATGAGCAGGGACATCTTCAGAGAATTCCTGCT